ATGTTGTTCCAACCCCGTAAGACCTTCGTTTATCTTCAGAACACAAATGAAGATATTTTTGATTAAATTTGAGAGCTGGATCACTCCTACATAGGCTTCCTAAGGGAGTGAAACTTGACGGCCCAGAAAGTCATTGAAGAAAATGTTTAAATAGTCCAAGTGACGGCTCAACTATAAGTTTATCAAGCGACAAGAGTTCAAGAGATTTCCACGACGCATGCGCGAGAACTGAACAAGAAGTAGTAGAAGAAGAACGTCCTCTTCTCAGTTCTCGCGCATGCGTCGTGAAAATCTCTTGAACTCTCATCTCAGGCCCACAAAGAAGAAAAGGAATAGTCGAATAAAGTCGTTATTTTTGTTTGTTTTTCCGCACAAAAAGTATTCTCGTCGCTTGATAAACTTATAGTTGAGCCACTGTAGTCACTTGGACTATTTAAAATTTTTCTTCAATGACTTTCTGGGCCGTCAAGTTTCACTCCCTTAGGAAGCCTATGTAGGAGTGATCCAGCTCTCAAATTTAATCAAAAATATCTTAATTTGTGTTCCGAAGATAAACGAAGGTCTTACGGGGTTGGAACAACATAAGGGTGAGTAATTAATGACTTAATTTTCATTTTTGGGTGAACTATCCCTTTAAGTTCAGACGCGATAGCAGTTACAACTGAGAATGGTCTGGTTTTAACCAGGCTATAGGTGAGTAAATGATGATGACAGAATTTTCATTTTTGGATGAACTGTCCCTTTAACGTTCGCATAATCAAGGAAAAACGTGTAGCCTAATTTATAACATTTGAAAAATGTTTTAAACGTTCAGAGAACATGCGTCTAAATAATGGGAACGTTAGCAAAACGTTCTTAGAACACATTTTGATTGCATTATGTGCGCGTGCACAGTGCTTTCAACATCAGTTTGAGGTAAAGTCCTCAGAGTCAGAGAGCGACACACACACACACACACACACACACACACACGCTTGACTCCGTAAATGAACTGCTGCTTTTGGCAAACAGCTCGAGTTCCCCGGTGAGACGCAAGCGCACGAGAGGACAGATCGCGTAAAGAGGAGGAAGAGGAGGAGAGGAGGAGGAGGAGGGAGGGGGCGTTACGTGATGGGGATTCTGCGTTCGCAGGAACAAACCCTGATCCCAGCGTGCTCTGCTCTGCATGGGCTGTCACTGGCAGGCTATATTTAGCTGGTGTTGCCATGTGCCCGGAATCTGAGACATATATTCTGCTGCGTGCGCATGTGAGTGAGTGAGTGAGCAAACGACCGGGGAGACAGATTATGGTTTCAATCCCTTGAAAATCAGTTGAATAATGAATAGCATGAATTTTCTCCTGTTCTCATTTTTGTATTTTTATATTTAATAATATTATATACTGTCTATATACTATTTGTACACTCCCTTGGGTTAAACTGTGTTAAATGAATAATTGCAAACGCTATTCCATTGGAATCAAAAACTTAAAGCATTAACAATTTTAGCATTTTAATAGGCCTATAGAAAATAATATACACCACCACCATAAAGTTTGACCAAATAACACATATTTGCATAACACTTTACAACATTAGTTGATGCGTTAGCTAACATGAATTTGCCAGATTATGTTTCAGTTTTTATGCGATCAGAATGATGTAACATCTTTTATGACACTGTCCTTTGTATATGCATGGGTTCTGCTTGTGCAATTCAATGCAGCCACTGTGAACAGGGAATCGGGTTGCTGCAGTGGGGCTTGTAATGGAGAGATGCAGTAATGCTGTTTCTTTAGACACTCACAGGTTTACTGAGAGCAGTTTGTGTGTGAGGGATTCTTTAGATTTGGGATAAACACCTGATTTAAGTCTTTGCTCATGGAACCACAGGACTTCTTGATCCAATCACCTGAGCCGGAAACACCAACTGACTAATCACTCTGCTGATACAGAATTTGTATACATCTTTATAATAATTGAATCATCCAGGGATGTTTTTTTTTGTACTCAGGACTTATTTAGGTGTTTTATATATATTTTTTAAAGTCCATCCGAACTTTTGTCATTTTTTACAGATTAACTTTTTATTTAAAGGGATAGTTCACCCAAAAATGAAAAATTTGTGATCATTTACTCACCCTCATATTGTTTCAACCCTGTATGAGTTTCTTTCTTCTGCTGTACACAAAGGAAGATATTGGACCGAATGTTTGTAACCAAGCAGTGGTTTTTCCTACTATGATAGTCAAGGGGGTGAAATCTGATTCATACAGGTTTGGGACAACTTAAGGGTGAGCAAATGATGACAGAATTTTCATTTTTGGGTGAACTGTCCCTTTAATGGATTTCCTTAATGGAATGGAATCTGTCATACATGACTTCAATTTAAAATCTCACAATCATGTATTTGTCCCCAACAAACCTCTGCTGTAAAGAACCCAGCAAGATGCCATCTGGTGGCAGGGCGTCCCTTACAAACAGCAGTGGCAGTACCACAGTAATGGCACCTGATGGCAATATCATATTCATATACATCGTGTTCAACTTTACATGGTACTCCAAGATACTTAAATGATGGTCCATGATGGATGTGTAAAATCACCACCACCACGAATTTTGTTTTTGTCAGTCTCTTGGCAAGAATATTAGTGTTTAGCACCTGTCCTCTCCAAATAAAGTAGCCTGTTGGATATCTTTAATGTGTGGATTATTTAGGTTACTTTTTTTGTTGCTTGCACAAACTGACTTTTTAGAATAATTGTAAAAGCTATTTTTGTCATGCAAATTATGTAGTGGAGAGACCAGGTCTAGTTGCAACACCACCAATTCCACATTTGTATGCTTTTATTTTTATTTTGGAGGTTTAAAAGAAAGAAGGGTCAGTCAGATCAGTTGTGAAGAAAATGTTGAAAGCCATGCAGCGGTGAGGATGTTGAGAAACGTTTGTGTTGTGTGTATGGAGCCATTTGGTAACTCAAAGGAATTGTGGGTAAAATGTGCCCTGTGCCGTCTCTGGGTCCACCACTCAACATTAATGTGTCCCCGTTGTGGCTCTGATTGAGAATATTCACACATTGGCATAAGCTCACACACACATTGACAGTTTAGACCTACATGTTCTTTACACAGGTACACTGGAGTCGAGTGTTCGTTATAAGCATAAATACCGTTTGTTCTAATAGACTAATTTACACACACACACACACACACACACACACACACACACACACACACACACACACACTCCTGCGTCAAACAGAAAGTTGATTTGAGCTATGGTCAGTCACAGAAAGAGAGACATTTTGTATTGTTCCAATAAACCAGTTTTTTAAGCATATTGCATGGCATGGCCGCTGTTTTTGCTTCTTTTGTCTAATCGTTTAACCCGGCAGTGGGTTAGTGTAACAAAGGCTCACCATGTATTTGACCAACTCATAAGGGCTGTGATATTCTTGCAGAGGTTTGAATTGGTGCATTTTGTTGTAAACATATGTGGGTACTTTGTATGAAAGTTCGAGCACTCACTCTAGTTCATAAATTCAGTGAGTTACAGATGCTGAAGCAAAAAGCCTATTCACAACCGGTCTCCCTATTTGAGGTTCATCTCGTCTTTACTGTGCCATAACGGTTTATTAATGTATGCCTTTTCTGTTTAATCTTTATTTTTTTTATTTAGGCCAATTTTGTTTTTGCTTCAGCGGCATCTATGGAAATTGATGCTACTACTAATAATAAACAAATGGTCCATTCAGGATTTTTTGTCCAACGTAGCAAAGTGCTAATGACTGTATGTTTGTATTGTTTTTGTTTTATTAAGACTTGATAATATGACCAATGAAATATATACACACAAGTACAAACAAAAAAAAACTAACAAAAAGAAAGAAAAATGTATAGATATTTTGTATACAGTTACAGTAATACGTTTAAGAAATAGGTTAATCTATAGTGTGATATAATAGTGAAAATTGTTATTGAATACATTTTGTGGTGATGTTGTGGAGAGAGAAAAAAAAAGAGATATAAACTCAGAGTGATAAATAGATATCAAGACAATTTGAAACAATCATAATAATAGTTGTAGTAATATAATAATAGTGGCATGTGTTAGTAGCCAGTAACAATAATAACATCTAAGTTTTATGGGATTTTAGACGTGTCAATAAAATCAAAATATTGTTGAAACATTGTTTAAATTTGATTGTGGACAGGCTTTGTAATAGGTTTAATAAATAAGATCGGCAAATGAAAATAGAGAAACAAAGTTGACATTTGAAGCGCTCTATTTGAAAAACTCATAAATCATTCAAATCATGGTTTGCTTTAAATCTTCTGATATCAACAGGTTCAAGATTACTGAGATGTCTAAATGTGAGATTTTGGTCTCACGGACAACACACAGACTTAACATACAACACTGAGGACAGTTGAAGCAATGAACTGTCTGTGTGCAGTGATTATTTCTATCACATGGGGGCGCTCAAGCTTTATTTCCTAATTCTGTAGAACCAGAGGAGGTAATATATACCCATATTTTTAAGTGCTTAAAATGTATGCTTGGAAAAACAACTGGCATCATCTTTTATACATTTCCGCATATGTTTGAAACGGAGTAAGTGATCAACCTTTATCATGAGTTTTTTTTAACGTTGAAAATACTTAAAGTGGAGACATCCTGTTCAAATGAAGGTCTAATGATCTGATCAACTCGACAACATGTAACGGTTCATTTCATAGGTTTATTTCAAAACACATATCAAGTGCAAAACAAGTTTGATTTAAAATACTTTAAAATAAATATTAAATATTATTACAAATTATGGATCTAGACAAACATTCATACTTTAAATATTTGAAGAATTCAATGTGAATTTATCATTACCAAAAATAAAATCCTCACATAGTGCAAAAAACAAAACCCAGAAGGCCAAGATCTGCAGGAGTCTAACCGCTGCCTGTACACATCGAGTCTAATGAAGAGATCCAATTATAAACTGTACTTGGTACATACTATCTGAAGATATTTACGGAATCAAATTTGATTCTTAACTCCGGATTAGTTGTTTCTTCTCCAGCGTGAAGCTTGTGAATCGGCCTTTTGACATCTGGCTCATATCCACCTGCTCGAAATCCTCATAAGCCGTGCTAATAAACCATCCAGGATACTTAACAGATTCAAAAGTGTTATTAGCCACACCGGTCTCTTTCCTGAAGAACAGGAGGTTGTCATTCTGGTCCCCGACTTTAATGGTGTTTAGGGTTCCACTGATCTCCTGAAATAAATTAAATCTTTAGTTTATAATGTGGATAAGTAAATAAATAATAATAATATGGTTGTGAAACTTGGTGTGGGGAACAAACCTTCAAGACCAGGTGGGGGGAAGGATCGTCCAGCTTGGTACAAGCGAGGTAGAGATTGGTCTGGGAAATTGCCAGGCACACAGGCTGGGATGCATTCGGGGAGGCACTCGTTGATGCATACAGCGACAGACTGAAATCCACTGAAAATAAATAAAGGTGCCGGTTAAGAGAGAATCGTCAAAAGGATCATTTCTGAAGTCGGGTTTAAATGTGAAAGCTCAGAAAGGGTGCTTCATAATATATAGAACCTTTCAGAGCTTCCCATCATTTTATGGATTTAGATTTCATCCATGTTCTAATCCATCTTTCATTTTAATGACATTTTTATGAATTTAGCAGTTCGTAAACACTTTATCAATAGGAAAAATTCCATTAAACATGAAAGTATTACGCAATTATTAGGACTCTTCTCCTTGTATAGAACCTTTTTGGCATAAATTGAGGTCAAGAACCCTAGTTTTAGAACCACATCGAACCTTTTTTTTGTAAGAGTGATGAGATTTACCTTTGAATCGACTGTTTCCGTCTCTCAGCGTGACAGCCAGCAGACGAGGAGATCCCAGGCTTTGCACCAGAGTCTTCTTGAACTGATCACAAACGTTGCACTGCACCATCTGGTTGGTCTTGGTGTAAGATGGAGTCACCACAACACGCTCCATATGACGCTCTGTGGAAATAAAAAGACATTAGTGAACGTCAACAACCAACAAAAAAAAATTAGTGCTTTATACAATATGGATAGTTTCAAAGCAGGAAAATAACAGAATAAGTGACTAAGTATGTTCACATGCACCTTCATAATGTGATTATAATGAGATTTAGGAAATATTGGGATTGAGCTTTACCTCATGGAAACACAATACTTTGATCAAATTGATGCGAAAAAACAGGCATTTAAACACTTTGGCTGTATTTGAAGTCGCATACTTCCTTACTATATAGTAGGCGAAAAACAGTATGTGATAAAAGTAGTATGTCCGAAATTGAAATACTCATAAAAGAGAAGGCAAAAAGTACCCGAATGACATACTACTTCCGGTGAGATTCTCAAGTGTGCTTATGATGGACACTTTACTTTCCCATGAGGCCACGGGAGAGGATTTATGAATGACTGAAGTGACATAACTGACGCTGGTAGGTCACATGATAATGACAACATGGCGAATGTAGTACATTTGAATTACATACATACATACTACACACACTTGTACTATATAGAACATACTTTTTAGTGGTCGTGAAGTAATTACTTTTTCAAAATAAGTGCCTACTCAAGAGAGTGTGTGATTTCTACAATCACATCTATTCCACCCTGACCAACATTAGTAAACAGAGGTAAAAAAGCATCATATTTTTGAGGTGCTGAAGAAACCGAGTACATACTGACATCATTGCGCGACATGAATATGATGTAAAATATGATTTTGTTGGTGGAAAACATTGAAATTAAGACAAAAAAAAATCAATACGCCCATAGAAATATGTAAAAACAGTGGCCAGTAAACACACCTACTGTATGTCAGTTCATCATTTGTGCGGTTCATTTGTGAATAATGGTGGTAAAAATAACCAGAATACTTAATAATCAGAATAATAAACAGATTGCTTATAAATGGGAGTGAAGGTTTGCTCATCACATAAAGATCTTACTCTGGTTATTGGAAATAATTACATTTTCAGTGCACATGCAAACATAGTCATTGATGCAAACTACAGCAAATACTAATTAAAATGTTGCTGTAAAGTAGCACGAAAAAGACAATAGTCGTGATTCAGCTCAGTTCAGTTTGGGCTCATTACTATCCTTTAAGTATGGTATTGCAAATTCACAATATTATAGTGGTTTCACTGGACAAACTAGGTCATATGGTAACTAGAACACAGTAACTGGTTTGTTGTGGTGGCCCACCAGCTCTAACCATCTTGACTAATGTGGTTTACCAGTTCCACCAGTCAGTCAATGCACAATCAAACCGCCAGAAGCTAGTTTTAGCAGCATAAAAGTTTGGTAGTGGTACCTTGAATCACACGGTCCATGATGATGTTGAGCACCTCTTCTTCACCAAACTCTGAAGACTTTGTTTTGACGTGCTTCATCCTCTTCAGAGCAATGATGATGTTCACCACCTGCTTCATGCTGGAAGGATGCCTCCACATTTCCAATTTGATGCCTCCATCCATGTTGCATTGGCAGCTCTGCAGAGAAATGAGTTTTAGAGCGGTTTTAGATGATTTCATATTAATTAGACCACATTTATAAGCATATTTAAAAGCAACCCACCATGGATTGTTGATCTGGGCAGTCCATCTCGTCAGAATCGGCACTGTCAGAGTAAATTGCACTGTCTGTCTCAGATGCACTGTTCAGGAAACAAATCAAATATAGAATCAGACGACTTTTAGGCAAACGATTTCAAATAAAACCAAAGCTAATTCAAGAGGTAAACGACGCATCATTCCGTCTTCGAGAGCTGTTTGATAATGCAATAATAATATGAAAAGTAACGTTTGATCTGGTTGAACTTACTCATCAAAAGCCAAAGTTATGTCATATCCATTATCGCATGCCATCGTTCTAAAATAAAGCAGAAAACGGGTTAAACATTGAGAAAATAATAATATTTCTCTTTAAAAACGGAATTTTAAAGATGTAATTGCATATGCCACATACCTGTCGTTTAGTCAGTTCCCTCTCTAGAATTAATGAATTGGTTCTTTCTCTTGTGAGATTCTTTGGTTTAATGCCTAGTGACAGTAGAAGTGTGGCTTTTATATCCTCCTCCTAAAAATGGGAATTTCCCCTGAATGAGGAAGTTAACGTTAAGTTAACAGGTTTTCGACATTTCGGGGATATCAGAGCAGGTGCGCCACGTTTTATAGTGGTAAATCCCGTGAAGACGTAAATGAACTCGCGTAAACGTACTTTTTTCTTTGTTAGAAAACTATTAAACATAATTATTAAATTTTTCTACTAAGAAAAATAATGTCATGACGCTAACGCTAGGATGTGCTCACGTGCAATCTAAATGACGCAATGCTCATGTTGTTGTCTGGATCTAATCATTTATTACAAAATGTATATAAAAAATGCTATTTAAACAGAATAACTTAAAAAACCTTCTTTTATGATGATGTTTTCGCCTAATTAAAAGTCAGTTTGATAGATTAAGTAGTTTGGCATTAGGCTATGTTTTCTTATTATTTCTTTAAAGTAAGCGGAGAGAAGCATTTGTTTTAATAGTAAAAAGTAATTACAAAATTAAAACATTAATTTAACAAATGTGTTTTGCAAGTAGCATTTTTTTGAAGTGACATGTAAACCATAAAAGAAAGTATCTTTTTTTTTAAAATAACTAATTAAAAATATAAAAATTCAAGACAACATGTCAGACAACTTATATTTGTATGATTACATTTAATTTGATAGGCATGATGCAATAAGATCAAAATTGTCTTGTAAAAATAAGCTGATGAATTTATGTGAATATTTCTCAGGGTCTAAAATCCAAATGAATATGTCCCTCATCCAGGAAAAAAAAATACAGTTCATGTTTCACTTGTCACACTATATGTTTTAATGAAATCCTGCCTTTAAACAGCCTATTACAGGCTTTTCAGCAAACACATTACAGTAAAACTTTAAAACAAAACAGCAGATGAAACAGCAAAAAAATGTAAAAGGTAAAATACAAAAACATCAACCCATTGTTTTGATCAGCAACAAAAATTTAAATTACGCCAGTTGGTTTTTTCTTTCTTGTGGTCACCAACAGCTTTTGCAATAATATGATGTAACTAAAGTTTGTAGGGGGGGAAAAAAACACAAAAATGATCCTACTTTGCAACAGTTTTGAAACCAACATAAGAAAAAAAAATACTTATGAAATTGAAAACATTACACTTACTAAGATAGTCTAACCTGTGTGACAACTAGCCCCGGTCTCCTCTGAGTGCATGGCTGCTATCTGACAAAACGAGCAAACACTTTTACACTCATCTTTGAGATTTACTCCCATGTCAAATAAATGTAGGTTTTCGGCACGCCCATTACTCTGACCTGCAGATACCCACACTTGGACTGATCTCCAGACCCGATCCCTGCTGCAAGACTGTGATAACATCCCATAATATCACATTCAGACGTCTGAGAGGTAAAACTGCAGTGTCCATGAGATGAAAAAGATGACTGTTATTAAATGTGTCCATGTTGAGTGGTCCTCATTCAGCGGGGTCCAAAGGTTTTGCATGTTTCTACAAATTATATCATGTGCATAACAATATGAGTGAAAAGTTGAACTGAAACATTTACAAGAAAACCTGACTTTTAGTTCAAAGGAGTTCGCATGATTTTCACACACATTTCTGACTAAAATGTCAATAAAAATTCCAAAATTTTACATTTTTCAATCAAAGGTTATCAATGCGGATATTTATAGCATTTTTAGGGTATTCATCATTTTCTGTGTTCTTATAAGTTCTCTTACATTTTATCCCACCTCGCACCATCTAGCATAGTTTTGGGTAAGTGACTCTAAAAAAAAGGAATTCATTACTAGCTACTATTTTCAACAGTGTAATTAGATTTCTAAGTACTGCATTGCTATTTAGGATACTTTCTAAATCCCATATCGACTTTGACCAATTGAACAATACAAAGATATAGACATGAAACTGCTCTTTTAATTCTTTCAAATAAATAATAAAAAATTGCATAAAATAATCTTGAATTGACCAAAGTATTTAAACGAACAAGTTTACATTAAAACCATACATTTTATCATTAGACGTAACATTTTGATGTTAAATCCACGATTGTCCTGTAAGTAATCCCTAACTTTACTTTTTCAAGGGAAAAGTACTTGTAATGCATTACACCCAACACGTTTGACCATGGGCGCGGATGGGCGTTTGGACATATTTTTGAACGTTCAAATCACTTGCGCATGTGCTGTGGTCCATGCAAACACAAACAGAGCTGACAGAACGCAGATGGTATGCTGATGACAAAAAATATGTGGACAGAATGCATTTTAAGATTGAAATATTTTATGTCATAAAAATACAAAACACCTTTTAGTTTTTTCAAATGCCCCCTAAATAACTATGCAGATGAAACCATGGAAAATAAATATAATTGTAGCATTAGCGTTTAAAGTCGGCATCTTGCAATGGTTGGCCTCTAACCTCAAAGACTGACCATTGAGCATTGGGAAGTTTTCTTCTTCGTCGGTTCCCCTATTATGCGGTGTGCCCCATGGGTCCATTTTAGGCCCTCTTCTCTTTTCACTTTATATGCTACCATTGGGTGCCTTTTTTAAGAAATATAAGATACCATTGCTCAACAGTCTGCTCTTAAATGGGAGGTCTTCTATTTCATTAGCCCGTTTTAAAGCTCTTAAATCTTATTTGTTCTCTCTGGTTTTTGATTAGATGAGTTAAAGATTTTTAATGTGATTTTTAATGCTTAATGTGTTTATATTTTGTAGGCTGCATGGTTTCTTTTTATGCTTTCTTTTTATATGCTCAATGTTTTATTATACAGCACTTTGGTGCAACTCCTCTACCTGGAAGTCTTTTCCACCCTATTGTGACGTACACTCACCGGCCACTTTATTAGGTACCCCATGCTAGTAACGGGTTGGACCCCCTTTTGCCTTCAGAACTGCCTCAATTCTTCGTGGCATAGATTCAACAAGGTGCTGGAAGCATTCCTCAGGGAGTTTGGTCCATATTGACATGATGGCATCACACAGTTGCCGCAGATTTGTCAGCTGCACATCCATGATGCGAATCTCCCGTTCCACCACATCCCAAAGATGCTCTATTGGGTTGAGATCTGGTGACTGTGGAGGCCATTTTAGTACAGTGAACTCATTGTCATGTTCAAGAAACCAATTTGAAATGATTAGAGCTTTGTGTCATGGTGGAAGTAGCCATCAGAGGATGGGTACATGGTGGCCATAAAGGGATGGACATGGTCAGAAACAATGCTCAGGTAGGCCGTGGCATTTAAACGATGCCCAATTGGCACTAATGGGCCTAAAGTGTGCCAGGAAAACATCCCCCACACCATTACACCACCACCACCAGCCTGCACAGTGGTAACAAGGCATGATGGTTCCATGTTCTCATTCTGTTTACGCCAAATTCTGACTCTAACATCTGAATGTCTCAACAGAAGTCGAGACTCATCAGACCAGGCAACATTTTTCCAGTCTTCAACTGTTCAATTTTGGTGAGCTCTTGCAAATTGTAGCCTCTTTTTCCTATTTGTAGTGGAGATGAGTGGTACCCGGTGGAGTCTTCTGCTGTTGTAGCCCATCCGCCTCAAGGTTGTGCGTGTTGTGGCTTCACAAATGCTTTGCTGCATACCTCGGTTGTAACGAGTGGTTATTTCAGTCACTGTTGCCCTTCTATCAGCTCGAACCAGTCTGGCCATTCTCCTCTGACCTCTGGCATCAACAAGGCATTTCCGCCCACAGAACTGCCGCTCACTGGATGTTTTTTCTTTTTCGGACCATTCTCTGTAAACCCTAGAGATGGTTGTGCGTGAAAATCCCAGTAGATTAGCAGTTTCTGAAATACTCAGACCAGCCCTTCTGGCACCAACAATCATGCCACGTTCAAAGTCACTCAAATCAACTTTCTTCCCCATACTGATGCTCGGTTTGAACTGCAGGAGATTGTCTTGACCATGTCTACATGCCTAAATGCACTGAGTTGCCGCCATGTGATTGGCTGCTTAGAAATTAAGTGTTAACGAGCAGTTGGACAGGTGTACCTAATAAAGTGGCCGGTGAGTGTATATCCAGGTGAAACAGCTTCTCGAACAAGAAAAAATGCAGGGTGGGAGTTGATTTTGTGCATGGGGAATTGATTGGATGGTTGTGGCTTGCTATTGGTCGATCTCATGTGAGTGACAGGTTGCCCCGCCCTCGCACCAGTAAACACATCATCAGAGAAGTGATGTCACTGCAAGAGAGAGTGGAAGTTATTCTGTGTAAAGATTATGATCACGCATGAATTTAAAAAAAGAATGATGTACATGGATAAATCATAATACTGAAATTTTCCATAACAAATTATCAATTTTGATTTCATGGTGACTTTAATTAGGCCTACTTGTAAAATCTCTGATTCATCAATAGACTTTAACAGAAGAGATCCTTGATGATCTTATTAACTTTCATTTTCACATAGGGTCAAATACAGAAAAAGTTTAAGATTAATTAATTGGCTATTCCAGTGAAAGAATATCCACTATTGGGTTATTAGGAAAATATATTGTTCAAAAGTGAGGATTTTTGTTAGGCAATCCCCATTCACTCACTAAAACCAGACGCTTGCGGTGGAGTGGATGCAGAATTTCTGCACTTATGCAACTTCCTCATTTAGGTTCTGTAAGGCATTAGCCTTTCACTGAGGAGAACACCTCAGCTTATAAAAGCAGCTGGTTTAGTGCAAGATAATATGACTCATTATTAATTAAGTTGTTATTAAGTCAGACAACAGTGATAGGCCTACTATATTTACGTCAGAGTTTGTAAACAGTTGTAAAGCACACAGGAAATTGCGACACAGACATAAACACCAGTGTCCCCACCTGTTTTATCCAGTCTATCC